AATGAAATAAAAATCAATCACACCTTTTGAATCGTATTTTTGTTTATGTCCTGGTGATTCTCTTCTTTGTCCAGCTGGTTCTTACCTGAGCCCTTATGGAGCCATGGAGAATGTCTGAAGGCACAAGGACAGGCCTCTCAGAAATGACCCAAAGGACCTCAGGGACACTGTGGCCTCAGGACAGTAATTGCCAAAGGCATCTGTGCTCTTTAGCTGCCCTCAGAAGAGGGGAAAGCTGCTGAGTTCTGCTGTGGAGCCATAGGTGTGCGCATCCATTCTGCAGGAACATCCAGCTGCTCAGATGAGGCTGATGGTGATGATGGTATTAGCTAACGCTTATTAGAACTTAAAATGTACTAGGTGCTAAGCTAGGGGACTCACATGCAGTATCTTGTTTAATCCTCACCATCACTCTATAAAATATGTACTACATACAATCGTCATTTTAGGGGGGAAATATACTGGTGGGAAAGATGCTGAAAAACTCAGCTCCGAAGTAAATCAGACTGGGAAAACCCACCTCCAGGTCCTACAGGGTGTGCCGGTGAGTTTTGTCATCAATGCCAGTTGTGCCCTGGGGAGCCAGTCCAAGCTGTTTCTTCAAATTTCATTTCAAACTTCAGCACGTAACTGCCACCTCCACTGATACCACTTTAATCAAAGCTACCATCATCTTTCATTTCAACTAGAAATAATTGCTAATATTACTTAAGCTCTCCTTGGGTGCCAGGCATTGTTCTAAGCACTCCCCTTATGTTCGACGGTTTAGCCCAATGAGGTGGGACAAGGTAGGAATCTGACTCAGACTCTGCACTGCACCTCTCCAAGGGGAGCCATGCACACTGTGTTCACAGGCTCCAGGACCTGGCCCCAGCCAGGTTTGCACGAGGTGGTAGCCCTGACTCTTCTCACTTCCCTTTCACCGGTGAGAAAGCCGAGGCACAGAGGAGCTCTTTAACTTCTCCATGCTCACTCATACTGCTCATTAACGGAGAACCACCCTTCAAACCCCAGTCATCTGTTCCCACAGCTTCACCTCTCCACCCCTTCATGAGTACCCTAATGGCCATCTCTGCTTCTGCTCTTGCCTTTTACACTCTCTAGTAGCCAGAGTGTTTTTAAAAGAAACAAATGATATGACTCAAAACCCACCAAAAGCTTCCTGTCATTCCTGGAATGCAATCTGAACAAACTCCTCAGCAGGTTCCACAAGGCCCTATGTGATCTGGCACCTGAAAAGTCTTTATACTCCTCCCCAGCTCACTCTGGTCCAGCCACACTGGCCTTTTCCCTAAGTTCTTGCCAAGCTATTCTACCACAGAACCTTTGTACATTCTCTTTCTTTGGCCTCTGCCACATGCTTTGCCCAGATCCTCCAACCCCTTATTCAGGACTCTTCTCAAATACCATCTGCTCCAGAGAGGCGTCCCTGATCTTTTCACATAAAACAGCCTCAGACCCTCACCTGCTGCTCTCTTTCCCATTTCCCTCCTTTGTCTTTCTTCACAGCACTTAACAGTACTTAAAAGTATATCATAGATTCATTCACCTGGTTTATTAGCCCCTAGATGTAAACAGGGATTTTGTCACCCTTAACACTGAGTCCCCAGGGACATGAGAAGAGCCTGGTACGTAGCTGGAGTTCGAGAAATACTGGTTGAGTGAATGAATGAGCCAAGCCTCTGGAGAATAGGGCCTCCTCAGCTCCTGCCCAGGGCACACAGACAGTTCTCAATAGAAACCAACAGAACAGAGGAAGATGGAAAAAGCAGAAGGAAGAAGGAGAAAGAAGAAAGCATTATTCAGATTCCATTTTAACTATACTCAGTTTTTCCTGGTTGTCAGCTTAGTAGCATCTCACTTCATTCTCACATCCTAAGAAGTACTTTAGCAACAATGGGGAAATATGAGGAGAATGGCCAGAAGCACACTTACATCGATTTACAAATGTGTACTTTTTGCCTATACTAACAGGAAAGAGCTTGTCATGAAAGAAACAGACTTCAAATTGCTTATCTTTATGGAGCTCAAACCACAAGACTTTGTGTTTATTTTATTTATTTTTTATGATTCTGCTTTATGAATCCTCTAGGCCATTTAATTTATTGTGTTTATTTTTTCTATCACTTCAAGATAAAATGTTTATTTCTACTATCCTCTTTTCCTTCAACTTAGCTTTTAGAATTTCCCCCGTGGTTTACAAGAATTGATTCAATTCACTGGACACCTGTGCATTTCCCCCATAAATTGTTTTGTCAGTTTTTATGGAGGTGGAGCCCGGGTTTTTCTAAGTTGATTAAATATCTGCATAGCGGGTGTTTTTAGTTAAATAAGCTAACATTTTCATATCATGTCATGTCATAGATTAGGACAGAGTTTAATCCTCAACCTTGGGCACAGTGCTGTTGCTACCATTTTGGTTAGTGGGGGAACGAAGGCACAAAGGAGCTGATAACTTGTCCTGGGCCAAGCAGCAAGAAAAAGAAGACTGGCATTCGAAATCTGATCTTTTGACTTCAATTACAAGCAAGCAAGAGTAATGAAAGCAACCCAAGGAAACCAGCTCTCTCTGGGGTGGAGACCCTTAATGCCAACCCCAGACATGGGTACCACACTTTACAGTTTATAAGACACCCTCCGGCTCTTGTCCAGGCAATGATACAGGGGTGCTAATGGCTAACAGGAGCATTACTGCATCACAACCATTGGGCCCTCTGAGGGAGGGGCAAGTAGCCAACAAGTTTCATGGTGCAGAGTTGGGAATGACACTGACCCTGATCCCATGTGCTTTCAAAAGGACAATCTTAAGTCAGCATGGCAAATGGGATCTGACAGTCACTACACTATTGTTTCAGTGATTACCCAAGAGATTTGGGGGAATCTTCCATCAAAAATATTTAACACAAGCACTGAGTTCCTCACAGAATACAACTAAAATACTTGAATATTTTTTTCCTCTGCAATATCACTTTCCCTGATGGTCCCAGATAAATAGGATGTTACTATATACATTACGCACCTCTCAAACCTAAGTTCCAGAACACTTTCGTAAAAAATATCTATTCAAACCCTGGCTGGCATAGCTCAGTGGATTGAGCTCGGGCTGAAAACCAAAGTGTCGCAGGTTCGATTCCCAGTCAGGCCACATACCTGGGTTGCAGGCCATGGCCCCCAGCAACTGCACATTGATGTTTCTCTCTCTCTCTCTTTCTCCCTCCCTTCCCTCTCTAAAAATAAATAAATAAAATCTTTTAAAAAATTATTAAAAAATATATCTGTTCAAAGTTGCCACTTTAAACAATGAAAAAATTTATAAGCTTCCTAAGAGCCTATAGTGTTTTAGTCTATGAAAATTAAAAAAAAAAGCCTTGCCCAGTGAGCCTCCAAATTCTCAAATCATTGGCAATAAATGAAATATTGCTATGACCTTTGGCTTTCATGGGCTCAAAACACCTGTGTTTTCTATTTATTTTTTTTAATCCTTACCTGAGGATATGTTTATTAATTTGAGAGAGAGAGAGAGAGAGAGAGCAAGAAACATTGATGTGAAAGAAAAACATTGATTGGTTGCCTCCTTTACGTACCCCAACTGGGGATCAAACCAGCGACCTACATAATGTGTCTTGACCAGGATCTAAACCTGCAACATTTTGGTGCACAGGATGACACTCCAACCAATTAAGCCACTGGGCCAGGGCAAAGCACTTGTGGTTTTGATTTCATGCCCCATATTTTCAGTGAGTGCCAAAGAATTAAACATATTTTCTGGAGTAAAATAAAGCATATTCCCAAGTCTCGGGGCTCCTCAGAGGATTAAACACTATTTAAATGATGGGAGAAATCCTGCTGACTAACCCACTATCAGAATACAGAACACTACAGGTGTAAACGGCAGAGGATAAGAGGGATGCGCGTGCCTGTCACACAGGTCACACACCCTACCCCCTCACTCCCTCCAGGAGACACCCACCCGCCTGCCAGATGCCCTGAGCCCTGGCAGAAGAAGCTCTTGCCTCCCCCGGTCACTCACCTTACTCAGCCACTGCACTGAGTGCAGCTGCCACGCTCTTGGGTAGCCAGGCTGTATCTAACCCACAGCAAGGGAGGCTGTATCTTTGCACATCATTGGAGCCTTCCCCCAGTGACCCTGCCCATTGCCGACCTCCTTGGAAGAGAACAGAACCATGCTCATTGCCCGCTTTGGGGTTTTTTCCATGGGAAGTTTTCATCACCCAACTACAAAATGTTTCCTTGTAGAAACTGAAAAGGCCTCTGAGCCCTCACCATGGAAGACTTCTATTGGTCTTGGGCCTCCTTAGGGAATGTCTGCTTTTTAATACTGTTAAAAGAAAATAGGCCAGAAAGGGGAGCCCATTGTATCACCCCTCATCAAAACCTTTTGATGACTCCCTATTTTCTCCATAATAAAGCCTTATTGTCATATGTGAAGTCTGCCATGAGCTAGTTCAAGCCTGCCTGCCCCTTCTTAACTCTCCCCGATCCCACCACTCCCCAGGCCCATGTCTATCCTCAAATCTCCTTCCCCCACCGTCTCCCTAAACTCCGATGGTTCTACATTCATTCTTTTACCTTAGGCTCTCTCTGCTCTTTCTTGCTCACATTGCTTTCTCTCTCTGGGGTGACCACATTCCCAGCTACTCTGATGAATATTCTGTTTCTCAAAGTCAAATTCAAATGCCTTCTCTTCCCTGAACACTTCCCCCAAATCCTTACCCTAACCTCTCAAGTCACTTTCTCTCTCCAAAGGCCTTCCCTTAAGGTTATCTGTGTACTTATCTGTCCTCCTGAAGGAACCCTGCCCACTCCCCTCTGTATCCCCCAGGGCCTGTCTTGGGTCTAGCACAAAACTCACTACATATTAGCATAACTAGAATTGAACCACAAGTTTACAATTCTCAAAGAAAATCCAGGGAGCAGAAAGCTGGAGAAAAATGCAAATTTATCTACTTTTTACCCCTTCCCACCCTTTCAACACTGACCTTGACATTTTTCCTCACTGCCTTGCCATGCAGGCTTCAGCACCAGTATCCTCTGGCCAAAGTCAGGTGGCAGTGAAGATTTAACTCAGGTGGCTAGCTAAGGCCACTAGATTCCTGGCAAAGCAAGCAGAATCTCAGTAAAGCAGGTAGGAGACTCCAGAGCCATTTTCCAGACCTCAGCACAGACATTATACTAAGTAAGCTTCCACCTCCCACACACACACCTTCCTCCCTTACTGCTTCTTCCCTCTGGTGTGGCCGGCATCTTCTGCAGACAGGGTTCAACTGAAAAATTTGGGGGAAGTTATGTAATACTCATGGCAGAAATTGCCCATTGTTTAGCTCAATATCCATTCTTTACTCCCTTGGTAACAGAAGCTGTGTTTTTTAATTGGCTATCCAGAATAAAGACTACATATCCCAACCTTCCTTGCATGTAACTAAGTTTTGGCCAATGAGTTGTAAGTGGAAGTGGTGTATGTGAAATTTCCAGGAAGTATCTTTAAAGCATTAGGGTGTATCCTTCTTGGCCTCTTCCTCCTTCCCTCAGGCTGGAATGCCGAAGGCGTGGCTGAAGCTCAAGCAGCTGTCTTGGACCACGAAATAGAAACTAACGCTGAGGATGTCAGAGCAACAAGATAGAAGGAGCTGGGGTCCTGACACTATGTGATATCTTACAAATTCTGGGTTGTCCATCTCCAAACTTCCTTCAGATGTGAGAGAAGTCTACCTCTATCCTACTTAAGTCATTATTACTTTGGGTTTTTCTGCAACATGCATCAAAATCTAAACTAAACTGGGACATTTCTGAGCCTTCATGTCTTTCTATAAAAACTACCAATGTCCTAGAGTTACTCTGAATTTTAAATGAGAAAGCGCTTTTAAAGTGTTCTTCAAGAAGATTGTAGCCCTGACTAGTATGGCTCAGTTGGTTGAGTATTGTCACGCAAAGCGAGACTTCATGGGCTTGATTCCCAGTCAGGGTACATGCCTGAGTTGCCAGCCCAGTCCGTGGTTGGGATGCGTGTCAGAGGCAACTTCTCACACATTGAAGTTTCTCTCCCTCCTTTTCCCTCTCTCTAAAAATAAATAAGTAAAATCTTAACAAAAAAGGCTCTTTTAAAGTCTCAGTTTGACCCATAGAAGTGATCAATAAGTACCTTTTCCTACTCCCTTCTTTTCCAGCTCAGAGTTGAGAGGTTTTCTTGTTAGTTTTACCAGGTGCTTTAACATGGATGTCTTCCCCAGAGTTCTGCTCCTGATTCATTCTAACTAACACACAGCACCTGGTAAAGTGGAAATAACAACATCTGTGTCTTACTCACAAATGCCTCATGTGAGGTAAGCAACATTCCCATTTTACTGAAGAACCTAAGGGTCAAGGAAGTGAAACACTTGCAGGAAGTTACCCGGATCATCAGTGGCAGTGCTGGGATTCAAATCCAGAGCAGGCTGGCTCTGGAATCCATGCCCTTGACCACACTGCTGCTCCAATTGCAGGAGCCTGGGAAAGTGAAAGGATTTCCCTGCTATTCACCTGCTTCCATATCTGCCATCACCCAAACCAACACCTAGATCCATTTCCAGGTTTTCTTTATCTCCCTCTCTCCAGCGGGGCAGAGGCTGTGGTCGTGCATTTGCATTCCTTAAGTCCTTGAATTTTGTAAAAAGTGTTGCAAAAAAGGCCTTTTTTCCTCAGAACTGAATCTGGGACTCTGTCCTCTTTCTAGTGATTTTTGACTCCAGGTAAACAGCAAGTTTATTTGTGAGGCTTACCTGTGAGCCATACAGTTCTTGTTTTAAGTACCTGGCCACTACTATGATGTAAGGATCAACATTTGGATGAATAAACATTATCTATAAATTTTATGTAACAAGATATTAAACGGAAGCTCTGACGAGTCACCCAAACTCAGTAAGTTCGCAATCTCAGGTTAAGGTGTCAACTCTCCACGTGCATAGTTTCAACAGAAACATCTGAGAGCCTCTTTCATAACTCTCCAACTTCCCCACCACTTGGAGAATACAAAGAAGGGGGAGGAGAGAGGATTCTCTGAGGAGGATGTTGTGCTTTGTGCCCATCCCCTCTCTTCCCTGAGGGAGGAAAGATTCTGCCTCCTCATCCTCCAAAGAGCATCATATGTGACCCCTATAACTGGGGACCAGGGTCTGAGAGACCAGAGGACAGGCCACCTGCTTTGGAAGCTGAGCCAGGAGCCTACTGCTGTGGCAGGGTTGCCTGCACTCCAAGTTTTTTGGGGTGAGAGTTGTATAATGCTGGGACCACAAACTGAAAGCAGAGAGATCTCATGGAGAGTCATCCAGGATCTTAGCCTAAGAGCTTCTTGGAGGAAAGACTGCAGCAGTGAGAAATTGGAGGTAAATGACCAGGAGCTGAAGGAGTGCCAGTAATCCCCCAAAATAGAGATGCCCTGACTTGGGAACAAGGGCACTACCAGGAAGGGGTGCCTGGTGGGGAACCTACAAATTGCTCAGGTAAGCATCCCAAGAGTCAGACAGCCAGTTTTAGATGACTCGCAGGCCTTAAAAGGTGAGGCCAGTTTATGACAATCTCTGTTGCAGTGAGACTTTTCCTCGCCCGTGAGAAGTCAACATGACCGGCACCCAGTTCCCCACAGCTGCCTCCAGGCCACAGAGGCTGAATAGGGAAGGAGACCAGGTCCAACATCTCATCAGGCTCAGAGTTCTCACTGCTCTCATGGAGGGGACATGCTCATTGCTGGATGGAGTCTGTACTTGCTGCTTAAAATGACCTTAGGATTGTCCCTTACCTGAAAGTAAGCAAAATATTCTTGGGGCTTGACGCGGAGTTCTTGTCCAGGGGCAGCAAAGGATCGCCAAGAGCGAACGGATCATAAAGAGAGCTGAGAGAACACAAATAAAGATGTGTTTCAATTATCTTACGAGTCTTCTGGGCAGCACATAGGCAGCTCTTGTTGAGGTCACACAAGCAGAGCTGCATGGTGGCAAATCAGAGGCACAGCCGCCCTTGGGAAGGGCCCCAGCATCATGTCAGAGGGAGTCACTCTGAGTCTGAGATGACACAGGAACGTGCCTGGCACATTCTCAGGGGAGGAAGCAGATCCTCCCTGGGGGAACATGACTCTGCCAATTTTTCCTTTGGACCAAGTTCTTTCCAATTCCGAGACAAGTCCAGCAAGCAACTTCTACAGCTGGTGGTGGCTGGGCCCAGGCTACTCCAAAAATAGACCTGGGACAATCATCCTGAAGCCCCTGATGTAGTAATCCTGAGATCGTTAAGGGTGATGGCCTGAGACTTACAGAGCTTCAAAGTGCCCACTGGGGTCCCTCATGTCAAGCTTTGGAGAGCTTTTCAACTTGGAGGTCAGCATCTGCCTCCTGACTCTGTTAGGGGTAATGGAGACAGGAACCCCTGCTTCTGAACTGCCTTCAAGGAAGGAGCATGGAGGAATCGCTGCTCTTCCCAAGTTCCTCACCTTGATGGCTGACTCTGCCCCAAGGCCACACGACATTCCTCCCCTGCACCTCTGCACCTCTGGGCTGCACTGCGGCTGCCCTACCAGGCACTCACCCTGGGACTTACTGGGCCAGTGTTAGTGACACATTTGTTTATCTTATCTGAAACAGGGTATGTTTAAAAATTACGGAAGTTAGAATAAAAAGAAATCAACTAAGAGAAAATATCTACACATGGAGGGAGCTACAGAACACAAGGTTATTTTTCTGGAAAAACCAGCCTCTAGCTAGCTGGGCATGGCTGGGCTGCTAACACGGCTTCTCATCCGAGCTCCTCATTTTAATGTAATAGCTCCTGTGGAGCCATACCCCAAAGCCCAGTTTTTAGTCCAGAAAGATGGACAATAGAGTTGCTTGAGAGATAATAGAAATGCAAAGTCTTCTGGGAAGGCGACACTAACCCAAAGACACTGGCTGAGGCATCCCAGGCACAGACATCAGTCTCTCAGTTCCTCTCATCTCACAATAGCATTCATTCATTCCACAGACACCTCCTGAGCACCTACTGGATGCCAGGGCCTGGGGTGGACACTGTGGGTTTGGAAATGTCTCGGCACCTGCTCAGACTCTAAAGGACAAGACAGTCATATACAGAGAAGTTCTAAGGGAGAATGTGGCAGTTGCCGTCCTCCCCAGGAAGCAGCCCCTGAGACAGAGTTGAGCATGCAGGGTGCCCCTGGGGTCATCTGTGGAAGGGACGGGAGGAAGCAGGGTGGACAGAAGGAGACAGCGCGCTGCAATGTAGGCCTAATGATGGCCTCAGGGACACACAGAGAGCTCTGGTGCTGGAAAGGCCCTTCAGAGTGAAGTGAGATAATGTCACCTGCTGCGCCGACCAGTCATGGGGTGTGGCCCACCAGAAGAGGGCATGATTTGGGCAGTGGGGGCACTTCCTGGGGGGCTGGATGGCACCCCAGCTTGTGGGACAAGTCTTTCAATTAGGGGATCTGGGTGGTGTGCTGCAGTGCCCACCACATCACCCCGAGTGCTCTGAGAGCAGGGAAGGGAGCAAGGAACTGCCCGGAAGAACCATGAGGGCTTCACTGAAAAGAGTCTGAGAGGATGAGAGGAGATTTCGGGCACCATGTTCCCTTGAGCCACAGTGCCTATGGGGTACTCTTGCCTAACGGGCTGGGAATCCTGTGCTGCGGGGCAGGTGAGAGAACGTGATTCCCTCCTCACCACCATGAAGGCCCGACTTCATCCCGTGTGTGAAGCCAGGCAGCTCAAAGCTCATTCCATGAACACCACAAGAGCATAAATATGTAGATAAGCAGTAAGCTAATGTGGCCAGAAAGAGGTCAAATCATGATCAGCTGCTGAGCAATCCAATACAGCCTTTTAATCAGCAAATATTTAGTCTATGAATAAACACCCATACCTGGCTGTCTCACTTCCTTCCACACCAGTGAGGCTGCAGTCTGTTGGCTGCTGTGTAAGTTGGGGGGGGGGGGGTGGACTCGTGTTTTAGACCAGACAGAACTGAACCCAGCCCTGCCTGAGCTGCTCCTTTTCTGTGTGACCTTAGCCCTGCCACTTCACCTTTCAGAGCTTCAAGTCCATCATCTGTAAGGCAGAGCTAACACCCCCTTCCCAGGACTGTGTGGCCTAGTGAACTATCGCAGTAAAACCGTGCTGTACATCATGGGCCCTGGTACCACTTTGCTGCCTTGCACAACTCACAGGGCTGCAGGAGATGACCCCACCTGCTTTAAGGCCATAGCTGATCTCCCTCACTCTTTCATGAAAGACA